ATATGGATATACCGACAATTAACTTAAGCGTCGTTAAAGCTCGCAAAAGTCATTCGAAACGACGAGCTATTATTGCTTTAAAAGCGCACTTTTTACGACTACTTTAACTAGTACGAAAGCTAAGTCGAAAAGAAGATTAGCAATCCGAACTTTAACCTTTTTAACGTATTCGCTACTTTCGAAGATCAAATTATTCGTAGCACTTTCGAAAGTAATAAAGCTAACGATACTACTTTTAAGTAGTCCGATAAACGCTTTAATAGCTTTAAAAGACTTGCTAAAGGTTTTAAGTGCTCGTGCTTTAAAAAGAGAAACTATTATTAAGACGCAATTAAGTATAAGATCTTTCGCTATTGCTTTAACGGTTTTAACGAAAGTAGATTCGCAAAGCTGAACCGAAATGATATCGTCGCTATTAAAAAAAAAGCTTTAAAAGCTTAAGTTTAAAGCGCTTCGAAAAGAGATTACGAAAAAAGGTTAAGCATAAATTTAAGTCGATAAGATCGTTTTAAAAGGCAAAGAAAAGCAATCGAATAATAACGATAAGTCAAAATACTTTAAAAAAGTATTAATAGCTATTATCGATCTCGAGCTTCTTAGCACGTTCGATAATCTTGCTTTTAACGGTCTTTATAATACGGCTAATAATAAGCATTAGCTATTTAACAGCACTTTTTTCGATAATTGCGGCGCTACTTACTTTATTAACGATAAGAATCTTTTAAAGCTAAAGTCAATTTAACGCTTTCGCTTAATCGACTTTATCGAAGCTAAAACGAGTAATCTCTTAATCGTCGAGCGAAGTATTAAAGTCTTTAAAAGAGCTTTAAACGGATTAAATAAAGCTGAGACGGAAGATTTGAAGTTAGAAAACGTCGCTATCATTAAAAGGTTTAATATTAATATCATCTCGAAAGCTCTTTTAAGCAAAGCTAGCGTATAATATTCGAAATATAACGCAACTTTTCGTTACGAAAAGGTTAAAAAAAGCGTTGTATTAAAAAAGTTAAAAAAGAAGTTCAACTTTACGTTTTTTAAATACAAGCTATTTAATTATTTTCTGCTTTAATTGATTCGTAGCTCTTTTTACTTAATGATATTTCTCACAACTTAAAAGCGCTTATAAACACGCTACAAATTTTAAAAGAGCAATGTCTTTTAAGCTTTAAAAAAAGATTTATCGGTACTTTAGCATTTACGAATAAGTCATTTAAGTAAAAAAGCGCTCGAAGCGCTAGCTTATAATGCTAAAAAGGTAAGACTTAAAAGAATTATTAAAATTAAATATAAAGCATATGCTATTACGTACGCTTAACAAGTCATATTTCGCCGTACGTTAAATAACAAAGCAGCTAAGCTATTTTACAAAATCGCTTAAAATCTATTCGACTTTTTTAACGGTTTTAATAAGAATAAATAATTATTAATAATTAAAGATAAATACAATAAAAAGCTATTCGGCTTTATACTAAAGGACAAGTTGCAATTAACGGTTATAAAAGTGCTAAAAGAATTTAAAGCATAAACGAAACGCAAATACAGTTTTTTAATAGTTATTATACGCTATGATAACGATTCTTTAGTAATCGCAATTAACGTTATCGGCTTTATCGAATATTAAAAATAAGCGAAAGAGGTTGAGATCGAATTAAAGCTCTTATTATCTTTTAATCACGAACTTAATAAAAGAGCCGAAAGGGCTAAGAAAAAGGTGATAAAACGGTTTATCAAAATAAAAATAAAAGCAAAGCTTTTAAAAAAGCTTTGGCCTAAAACTATACTAGCCGTTATTTACTTTTATAATATAACACCGAAAGCGAAGAGCTTTATGAAAAGTCCGAATGAAATGCTACAGCTTTGATTTAAGCAATATTTTAAGTAGTACGATCCGGCGATCTTTATACGGATCGACATCGATTTAAAACTAAATTATAACGGTTTAATTACGTATAGCGCTCGTGCGTACTTAATAATTAAAAACCGAAAAGCTTTTCGTAATAAAAGAGCTTTTAAAGTTAAACCAAAGAGATATATAAACTACTTAATTAAATATATAGCTTTTAACATATATAAAGTCTATATTCTTGTGCTTTATAAAGTGATTGTTATACGCAACGTGACGTTCGATAAAACTCAATTTTATTTTAAAAACAAGAAAAAATCGGTCGGCTAATCGATTAGCGAGATTAAAAGCATCGTTATTAAACTAAAAGATATTAAAGACTTTAATCAAATAAAAGACGCTTTATTTAACATAAAGAACGTTGCAAAAGATCGCTTAAAAGAAACGAATGCAACTAATATAAAAAGTAATTAGCCGTTAAACCTTATAAAAGTTGATTTAAAAAGATCTAGTTAAAGCTTAAAGAATGCGACTTTATTTAATCCGAGCGATACACAAACGTTAAGAGCTTTAACTTTTATTAAAGACTTTATAAATACGTTTATATTAAAAGCAATTACTTTACGAAACGATTTAATAAATCTTAACGATTCGAATTATACCGTTAAACGTCTTATTAGCTCTTTAACTAAAAGCAAAAGCGAAAGTGCTTTAAAACTGTTAAAAGTAAAGAAGAGCATCGTAAACGAGTAAAAACTTAGCTTTAATAAAAAAGCGCGCATATTATACTTTTAAGTTGTTATTTAAAGCCGAGGCTCGAAAGGCTAAGCTATAAGCCGATTAACGAAAGCTTTTACGTTAACAACCGGCGGAAATTCAAACCGAATAATTAAGAAAGAGCTTTTAAACTTTTTTAAAGCGAGTATTAATAATAAGAAATTAAACTATAAACACTTTAGATAAAATTCCGACTTTAATAAAAAGCATTCACTTATTAATAGCCGCACTAGAAAACGCGCGAAGATATACGCAAGTGTTAGTAAGCTTTTTTTAAATAACTCTCGCGCCGATTCGAACCGCTATTCGCGCGTTTTAGATTTTATATCGACTTTTTAAGCTAATAGCGAACTCGTGCGCGAAAATAGTAAAGATTACGAGACATTACACGCTATTATAATAGCTGCTACTTCGTTTAAGCTATTATTAAAACAGCTTAATCTATAAATGTGACAGCCTGCCTCGTTACTTGCATCAGCTGATCAC